AAGAGATCCAGTCATCAATGGTAGAGGATTATTGAAGATTGAAGTTTTGAAGGAGGACAGGACATACAACTTAATAGCTTTTTATATATTCCCCTGAGTCATGCACAGTATTGTAAAACAATATTACTAATTAAATATATATATGTGTGTGTGTGTGTGTGTGTGTGTGTGTGTGTGTTTTCTCTGTTTGCTTTTGTAGGAGGTGAAACAAAATTAAAATATAAAGTCAAGTATTGAAAGAAAAGTCTGGAAGTTTCAGGTCCAATTGCAGAAAGAGATGATAATAGTCTGAATTACTGACAATACACTAGAACTACTCAAAAATGGATTTTCCACTATGCAAATAAAACTTAAATTTCAGGTGTTTTAACTCTCCTGATAATGAATTTTTGTGTCAGATGTTTGGGTTGAACAATCAGTTTCAACACTAAATTTCCTCTAAATGTCAACCTAAAATATGTTTGAATATTTCATTGGATTATTTAAGGAGTTAAATAAGCAACTGTGAAGTACAATAGATGTTCAATTAATGCCATTATTATAATTTTAGAATAATTTGTCTGTAGCATTTGTAATTATCTTGACATACTAAATTTGAGATAAAAATATAATATTTGTATTATTTTTCCACTGGAAATTTCATCTTAAATATTTTTCCATGCTGCTAAATAGCCTTAAAGTGACAAAAACAATTTAGAATTCTATATATATTTTATGACACGCAGTAGAGACACCATAAAGTTGTTTAACTTCCGGGCCCTCCCTGGTGGCACAGCGATTGAGGCACTGCACTAAGAAGCTTAAGCCACTTCCTCATGAGTTCGATACCCGCCTGCCCGGAGGAGATCCACATGAAGGCAGACCTCTCCTGACCTGCCCGCTGCTCCCCTCAGCAGTGTACTTGGGCGATCTGCCTATTCTGCTCCCCACTCTGTCTCTGGTGAATCCTCTCACCCTCCGCATCTCTGGCCTGTACCCCAGTTCTGTATGCATAAATAAATAAATCTTTAAAAAAAAATTGTTTAACTTCCAACTCTTTTTTATTATTGCCCCACAGTAAATATTCACTTGAATAATATATAATCTTATATGTAGTAAGATAGCTCCTTAATATAGCTCATGAACTCACAGATGTAAGGTTTTTGGTTGAAGTGGTCTGAAGCATTATTTATTATTTCCATGGAACTTACTCATTGCTTTTAACTAAGATGGTATGAACTCCTACCCATCAACATAAAATATCTCTCTATGTATGTGTTTCATTTGTGTTTTACTTAGGTAAATAAAGAAAAAGAGCTGAAAAGTAAATATCTTATTAGTGTTAAATAATTGAGAAATTATAATTTTATCCATCTGTTTTTAGCATAAACTCAAAAAGTGAAAAACATTAGAATTTTTCCTGAAATTCATAATTGTTAAATCTTAGTATTAAAAGGTTACTTGCTCATATTACTTATTTTAACTAGAAAGAAGTACATAGTAAGAGATAACTAGAACTTCAGAAATTATAGCTAAGTGAGCTTTTCTTCAAAATTCTAAGAAATAATTTTATGCCTACTGAATTTTTTTTTAATAGATAAGGACATAAAAGCACTGTTTGGAAACCATATGTCTGCAAACAATGGTGTACCACTAATATTAATTATAACCGGAAGGAATTCGAAATTTTTAGTTTGGTTCAAAACTGCTGTGCCTGTTTGATCATTTGACAAAGCACCTTCCTTTGTCGACAAGGAGGCAAAATGATTAATTGATCTAATTACTTCTCTGTTGCCCATTCTGTAGAGAAGATCTCATTTATAGCCTTATTAAATGAATAATACACTGCTGAGAATTAAATAACCCTGGCATAGTGTGATTTATCTATAGAGACATAAGGAATTAAGTTATTTCCTAACTAATATTATTTTTCTAATATCTTACTCAACTGATCAAATTCTACAAAGAACCAGATTATATTTAGCAAAGTCATGCTGATTATTTTTCTCTCTAAATTTCAGTATAAAGAACGTAACTCCAAAAGTAGGAGATCCTGAAACCCGTAAAGCTATTCGCCGTGCCTTTGATGTGTGGCAGAATGTAACTCCTCTGACATTTGAAGAAGTTCCCTACAGTGAATTAGAAAATGGAAAACGGGATGTGGATATAACCATCATTTTTGCATCTGGTTTTCATGGAGACAGTTCTCCCTTTGATGGAGAGGGAGGATTTTTGGCACATGCCTATTTCCCTGGACCAGGAATTGGGGGAGATACTCATTTTGACTCTGATGAGCCATGGACACTAGGAAATCCTAATCATGATGGTGAGTGCATAGTTTTGTTTATAGTCAATAATTCTCTTTTTATTTTTGGAATGTCAAGTAGTTTCATACTTTCTGAACTTAAGGTATCAATAAGAAATTGTATGAGAAATTAGATAATAATAGTTTTTCATGTGGTCTTTTGATTAGAGATTAGAACTTGATTGCTATATTCTATAAATATGCTAGTGAATTTTATTTTCAATGAAATGTCATTTAAGATATTCCATAGTCAGTATGGGACAAATTCTACTATTTTTCTATACTTTACTTCAGTATTTTCCATTTGAAACTTAATCCTGGCTGACATTTATGGTGTGGCTTCTACTGTATCTTTGCTGTGTTATTTTCTATTATCACCTTTCTTGTTTGTAAGATATTGCCCCTTCTCATGTTGCTTTTATTTATTTGCAGTTTCCCAATCTGATAGAACTACATAGCTTACTGAGTTTGCAATATATCTTTGTTTATTAGTATAAACCACTTTCTTGAAAATCTGTTCCAACACATCAATTTTCTAATCCTTATAAAGATTCTGAAATGCAGAAATAATGCAAAAAATAAAAAAAACTCAATAGCTAAGAGAATAATCACTTGATATGAGACATGTGTTTCTTCCTAAACAACAACCCATATTTATATTTAAAATACATTCAGGGATGCTGAGATATTTAAGTTACAAAGTCCTAAACAGCTATCTAGCCCATGCATACATTCTAGACTTAAATTCTTTCTCACTGTTGAAGAATGTTGTTGAAAATACCAGCATGCCTTGTTTTAAAGGCAACTAATCAGCTGGTAAAACTCTTAATTCCTCCTTGATGGGTTAAAGCCCAGACATCAAATTAAGCTTTGTTAGTTCATTAGAAGGTTTAGGTAGGTGGATTAATGTAATAGCCTGAATTTTCAGAACACACTGGGTTCAAGGACATTACAGATAGAATGAATTAGGTTGAATTAAATTTAGGATAACATCAATATTCCAAGAATGAAAATATAATAAATAACTGCCCATGCTATCTAAAATAAGATATCTATAATGAGCAAATGATTTTTGAATAGTTGTTAATCAATGTATTAACTATAATATTAAATTTTGATTTTATTTTTAAGAACTTATTTGGAGGCAAATCCAGATACATTGGGAGATTTTACTAGAATGGAACTGAAAATCAAAAACTTTGGTGTCAGGCAGACCTACTTTCAATTCCTGACTAACTGATCATGAGCCCAATAAGCCTCTAATGTGACCCATGCATTTTTTCATTCTATTCTGTATTGCAGGGGTTGGGGGGATTGTAAATACAAGTAGTTTTATTTAAATATGTAACAATTCTATACCTGTACATTGAATAATAAAATATAAAGAAATGATCTTTGGCCTATACCAGTTTGATAAATAATTCATTTAAAATAAAATGTTTATTTTTGTCAAAATCTAACAAGCATTCTAATGAAGTATTTCAGGATTCTTCAAGTCAATTGTTACTTTACTTTAAATAATGGAAGGAATATTTGCAGTCTAAATGATTGAGAAAAGTAGCACTTGTATCCTTAGGCTTTTGCTAACTGACAAAACTGCACTTGCTTTCTGGAAAACATTTCCTTTTAAAATTTGAAACAGAGAAAATTATATTTTATCCCAATAACTAACCTCAGTGTCAAGTCTTCTTTATCTGTCGCTTGGAAGATCTGTTAATTTGATTTTGTGGCCTCATAAATTTAAAATTTCTTTGAAATCCCATTTGAAGGAGATGGTGCCTAGCAAACAACCAGAATTTTCCCTTAAAATATTAAAATCCTCAAGAAAACCACACATTTCCTTTACATGTATCTTTTTATATTAGTTATTTTTTAAGGTATTGAACAATACTTTTTGAAAATAAATGTTTTAAGAAAAAGTCTATAGGGGCATTTGATGACATAGGAAATGAGAATGTGATTTGTGTGTGATCATTTTTATAAATGAATATGTATTTAAGAAATTTTCCAAGGCATGTATGTGTAGAAAAGTATTTAGGAAGAGAACGTATGAGTGTATAACCAAGTCAGTGGAGCTTTGATTCAGATCATGTATTAATACATTAGAATGACTCTTAATTTACTCTGTGGAAGTATCATTTTTTTTGCATGTAGGCACACTATTAAAGCCACAATCATGAAATATTTAGTGTTTCATTTGAACAAAAATATTTCTTTACTCAAATAATAGTTTTCCTTTTGCAATAGCTTGAAAGAAATAATACGGAAAAATAATAGTTTCAGAATTGCAGGGATTAAGGAGATGTTAACTGGCTGTTGAAGATGTAATACCATAAAGATTTACTACTTAATTGAAAGTCAAACTTTTAACTAGCAACAGCAGGGCAGCCAGGGCAGTGTCATGCTGAAGTATTGATCTTTTTTTTTTTTTTAAGATTTATTTATTTGTGCATACAGAACTGGGGTACAGGCCAGAGGCTCAGGGGCGGTGAGAGGCTTCACCAGAGACAGAGCGGAGAACAGAACAGGCAGATCAACGAAGTACACTGCTGAGGGGAGCAGCGGGCGGGTCAGGAGAGGTCTGCCACGCCATGTGGTCTCCTCCGGGGCAGGCGGGAATCGAACTCATGCGGAAGCGTCTTTAGATTCTCAGTGCTGTGCTTTAACCCGCTGCGCCACCAGGGAGGGCCGAAGTATTGATCTTTTAACAAAAGAACAGCCTCTAGCTTTGCTTATACTGGTGAATGTGGGGAGAATGAATGCATTTGAACATCCTAAATTCTAACTGTATATAAAATTGTCTTTTTGTATTATAAGGCACAATTCTGACGTCTTCATTAATAAATGTTTCCTTTTTTTGGAATTCTAGTGCTTCAATACCCCCACTTACTTACCTGAAAATTTTTGCTCTCAAATTCACTGATCTTAAGCACCTAGAGAACAGAGCAGCTTGATAATTTAGCAACACGCAAATGAAAGAGTCTCTTCATAAGTACCCAGCTCATTTTCCACAGCATATTGCTCAGCTAATGAAGGCAATTTGAATTCTGTCTACCTCAAAAGAGATAAACAATGTCTTAAACTGCCACTAACCCTTAATTCATTGTTATCCACTTTGCTATCAATTTGCTTATAGTCATGATACCTTTTGAAAACTTGAGTTACAGTCCATTATGTAAATTACACAATCGGTATATTAAAATAAATAAATAGACACAATATGTCACCTTAATAAAAATGCCATTTTATTTTTCAAGAGTTTGTTTTCTTTCATGTAGTACATAAGCAAAACCTGTGCATAAAAAATGTAAATAGAAAATGTTGCTGTGATGTAGTTTTGAAAAGTATACATTGCCTCAATGAGAGTTGGATAATTTGACTCTAGCAAAATGTTATGATTCATTTTGAGGAGCATTATCATATTGGTTCTTTGGATTCAGTACATCATTTGAATGGCACTATCAATGTAATCATAAACTTATCACAAAGATCCTTTCTATTTAGATAAGTAACTACCAGAGTAATAGGATTTCAAAATGATAATCTCCAAGCAAAAAAGGTTATGTATAAAAATCATGTATGTGGCCCTCCCTGGTTGCACAAAGGGTTAAAGCACAGCACTATGAAACTAGCAGCAGCTGCTTGAGCAGGAGTTCGACCCCCCCACCAGGGAGGTGACCCACATGGCACAGCAGATTTCTGCTGTCTCCCCGGCTGCTCCCTTCAGCAGTATACTTAGTCAATCTGTCTGTTCTGCTCCTCAGTCTGTCTCGTGAATCCTCTTACCGCCCTTGCACCTCTGGCTTGTACCCCAGTTCTGTATACATAAATATTTTTTAAAAATCATATATCAAACTATGACAGGAAAATATCTAGAGACATTTTATCTTGTAGTTGCAATTTTATTAGCATAACAAATGCATTGCATTGACTTTGTTGTCAGAAAGAAGGTGATCAGGGCTGTTGTAATCATCTACCTAAAAACCAGGCAGAGAGCAATGATGATAAAAACTTCACTAGAGACATCAAACCTTAACTCTGTTACGTTCTTCTAATGGTTAATTGTATGTGTTCACTTGACTGAGCTAAAGGATGCCCAACTTGGTGGTAAATATTGTTTTTGGATGTGTCTCTGAGGTGTCCCAGAAAATATTCCCAATTGAATAAATAGATTGTATAAAGAAGAACTTAACTTTCCATTGTGGGTATAAGGGCATTAACAATCTATTGAGGGCCTAATAGGACAAAAGACAAAGGGGGAGCAAATTATGTCTTTCTTCTTGAGTCATAACGCATCTTTTCCTCCTCTCAGACAGAGCTCCTGGGTCCTGGGGCTTCAGGACTAACACCAGTACACCCTTTCTCCGCCTCTCCTCCCCTACAGAGTGTCTCTGATCTATAGTTGCCTGAAGATTTTGATTTTTACTTTGTTATAGTTACTTACTGTTGGATTTGTCAAATCTTGTTTGTTTATATATGTTTATTCTCTTAGAATCCTGACTAACATAATCATTAAATATGACCTAGTCAAATTCTACATCCTAAATTCACACATTCTTTGAATAAAACTAGTTGAGTTAAAGATCTTCATGATGTAAAGCTTGAGGCAATATAAATGATTAATACCAACTAGGGAAAGGTAAATTTCTTAAAAGAGAAGTATTTATAGTATTCTAGAATGAAAAAAAAAAACACCTGCCGGCCCGCCCTGCTGGCACAGCGGGTTAAAGCACACTAGGAAGCTAAAGCCACTTCAGCATGAGTTCGAACCCAGCCCTCCTGAAAGTGACCACATGGCGCTGCAGACTTCTGACCCGCCAGCCGCTCCCCTCAGCAGTGCACTTTGTCGATCTGCCTATTCTGCTCCCCACTCTGTCTCTGGTGAATTCCCTCACCGCCCCTGCACCTCTGACCTGTACCCAGCTCTGTATGCACAAATAAATAAATCATTAAAATAAAATAAAACACCTGTTAAGAGAGAAACCTAGGCTGTAGACAGCTATCTCTTACCATCCAATTTT